AACACTAATAATAATGGCCATATAGTTAGCGTAGGCGTTGTGATGTGGAAAAAGTAAAATTTTATTTACTTGAGGGAGGGTATGTAAACAAATTAAAAACTGACTTTTGTTTCTTCTTCTTCTCAGAAACAGCATGTTAATATTATCATGACTTTGCAATTTGCTTCCAGTCGAAGACAAATAAACTATGTGTAATAGGTAAGTGTACTTCTTGTTTATTCATTTTGTGTTTCCATTAGTACATGTATGTAATAGAGGCATCTTTTCTAAAAATGTTGGTAGCCCTGAAAAGGGCTTTTGTAATTGGTTTAAGACAATTGGCAGTCTACGCCTTGGTGGCTTTCTTTGGGGTTTTTGACTTCTTGGCTGTGGCTTTCTTGGGCGCTTTGGTTTTCGTAGGCTTTGGAGCTGCCTTGGCTTTCTTGGGAGACTTAGTAGCTGCTTTCTTCTTGGGAGACTTGGCCTTCTTGGGTGCTGCAGGTTTCTTAACAGCCTTTTTCTTTTCTGTTGGCTTTTTCTCCCCGGTTGTCTTCTTGGGTTTGGTCGTTTTCTTGGGCTTGGCAGCCTTAGGTTTGGTGACTTTTTTGGTCTTGGGTTTCTTCTCCGTCTTGGGCTTCTCTCCCAGCTTGAAGGAACCACTGGCACCTGTACCCTTGGCCTGTTTGAGAACTCCCTTCTTGACTCCGTTCTTGAGGGCCATCTTCAGATGGGTGTTGACACTAGAGGCGTCATTACCGACTTTGTAGTTGCCCATGATGTACTTGAGAATAGCTTGTCTCGAGGAACCTCCGCGCTCCTTCAGGGCAGCCACAGCAGCGCTGATCATCTCGATGTACTTGGGATGGGCGGGGACCGTCTTGGGTTTGGAAACCTTCTTCTTGGCGGGGGATTTTGCTGGTGCGGCGTCTGCCATAATTTTTTTGTCCTGTTTTCTACAACTGATGTGAACGACGTTATCGACGATAAGGAAATGAATGAAATCACCTCCGCCGATGGCCTTATTTGAGTGGCGGCGAGCGCGGACCTCCGTGAAAACTCCCCAATTGTCGAGAGCGTAGAGGATTGAACTCGTCAAACTTTGTGTTTCAATACCTGTTATTTTTCCGATTTTGTCCTCCCAATTTTACTTAATTTTCTCAAATATGTCACTGTGCGTTTTCTTGAAATAATTTCCTACATAACTGTTTTTGTTTAAGGTTCTTAATCTGTCATTTTAAAGGAGGAATTGTCTGTTGATTCTGAAAATGCGCTGTTCCCTGGAGCCCAGAAGCGACTAATTTTGATTAAAACACGAAAACAAGAGGAATAGAACACGAGTAAGGGATTGAAGTACTTACTACATTGCTATGTGATAAAACATACATGTACATTTCTTTCAATTGTCTTCTATGTTACTTAAAATCCGAATGAAAATGCAAACATTCGGCACAAACACGCGCACAATGGATAGTGATGTGTGCCTTGCATTTCATATGAAATGGAGAGAGAGAGAAAAAAAAACAATCAAACAAAAGGGTCATATGAAGGGAAATCACGGAATCTCACAAATTGTTGAATGTTCAAATATATATCTAATATACTTTCTAGATCAGTGGATGTTCACCCCCTTAAAGGGACAACATATAATTTCTTTTCGAATATTTAAATACATGACACCTACTTTATAATTATAACACCGAGGACACCGGAAAGATCCAGACCGTACGTAACGTACCACATTCGGTGGTACAACGTCTGAATTTCTCAGTATAATTATATCATAAGAATATACATAACTGACATCCTTGTAAATTACATGAAAAAAAAAAATCACATAAAAAGGGCGTGTATTTAATAATTGTAGAACACTCACTTAATTAGTAGTTATACATAAGAGAGAGACAGAGAGAGACGAACAAGGCGAATAATGGGAGTAGCTTATTCATTGATATTAATTTGTTTCTTGTAATTTACACACACAAATAATTGAGTACATGTAAATAAACAGAATGTGGTCAAAAGCCAATGTATTTAAAATCTATATCTTTCAAGTTGAACAAGACAACCAGTATATAATACAAGACAATACAATACATTGATAGAAGCATCAAATTGGTTGCACACTTTCCACGTGCAGATCATGATTCCCTGCATCTATATGTCACGTGACGATGCAGATGTGCTGCACGGCGCAGTGATGGACATCGCAATAAATGTAAAGTGTTGAAAAAAATGTCGTTTAGTCATTCGCATCGGTAGTCTATTCGAAAGAAAATTTACTACCAGTTTTTAATTGTGTTAGTACTGTAAGTATCCGGAAACTGGCATCGAGTTGCTTTTATTCACTCTTATTATGGGAAGCACACTTTTTTGAATAAGAACATTCAAGACATAATATAAACCACATCTTCTTATTCTTATGAGATTCTTATATTCATAACTTTTATCTATTTTTATCAATTAGGAATTTTGTCTAAATAATCATCATATAAAACAATAGCGAGGGGGAAAAAAAAAGAAACATTAAGGATTTAACTGGAGTTACAGATCTTTTGAATATGTTAATAAAATAATGATCATATTTAAAAATATTTGTATCAAAGGAAAAAAATTGAAAGTTAGATCGCCATGTTAGATGATTTTCGCAGTTTCTAGTCTTAATTGGTCAATGAAATGGGTTTTTTTTTTTCTTATCTCTTTGTTGAGTGAGCATTCAAGTAATACGTGAGAATTCAACATTTGTACGCAGGCCTATAAGGTTTGGATTCAACTGCCTATAACGAGAAAGAAAAAAACGTACATATACGAATATACATGCGAGTCAATTTTAAAATTTATTGCTTTTGTTATTAACTTAATACATTTATTTATCATTAAATATATAACACTTTCTTTGATGTTTGATCTCTGTTCTGTGTTGAAAATTATTGAATTCGTGTGTTTCTATTATTTTCTAGCTATAATAATTGTTTACGTTTCAACTCGTTTGTAATGTAGGTATCTTTTCGAAAAGCTTATGTGGCCGTGAAAACGGCCGTTTGGTTTTGTGCTGCACACAACACAACTATAGGATCTTTTTACTTGGCGGCTTTCTGTGTCTTTTTGGGAAGGAGCACCGCTTGGATGTTGGGCAGGACACCACCCTGCGCGATGGTCACGCCGGACAGGAGTTTGTTCAATTCTTCGTCGTTGCGGATGGCCAGCTGCAGATGACGGGGAATGATTCTGGTCTTTTTGTTGTCGCGGGCAGCGTTGCCTGCCAACTCCAAGACTTCTGCGGCCAAGTACTCAAGAACGGCAGCCAAGTACACGGGAGCGCCTGCTCCCACTCTCTCGGCGTAGTTGCCCTTTCTCAGCAGACGGTGAATACGACCCACGGGGAACTGCAGTCCGGCGCGGGAAGAACGGCTCTTGGCCTTCCCCTTCACTTTGCCTCCTTTGCCACGTCCAGACATTCTTAACGGTTATGTTCTTTCGTGTACAGTCAACGAATAATCCAGCGACGCCCGCACGCACCAATTTAAACAGCCAAGCGGATCCAACGGTGCCTTTGAGGAGAAATCAAAAGAATAAAACTACGTAAACTTAATACCCCCTTCCCCTCTCCCACAAAAGGCACACATACTAATATTCTCTTTAGAGAAGAGGAAAGGCTTTCACCTTCATCCACACCTGTCAGTAACATACTCCAGAAAAATGTTCATGTTTCCAAAATAATCAAAATGAAAGTAAAGGCATGGGGTCTTCCGGTCATACATGCGTCAAATAATTAAATGCATTTCTTTAAAAAAATATATACAAAAACGGAAAATCGTTTTTAAGGGATTTATTTCTTCCTTCATGCATTAATATATCAAGCATCTTTTGTTCAGGCAACGAACTAATAAGTATACTGGTTGTAAATTCGGGAACTATTTTTTACTGAACTACTTTCTTCCCCTACCGATTCTAAAAATAGTTACAGGGGTTTACCCACATTAGGAGAAACATAAAAGAAAACAGAAAAGACCTAGCAAATAACTTCAATAAGGGGAGGGGCATTAGCAATGAAATGTTATTCTACGTGAACGATTGGAATTTATTATAGAAACACTATGAAGAATAAGATCATGAGCGGATCTAGAAAGGGGGAGCACCCCTCCCCCCCGATTTTTCCAAGTTATTTAGATTTAAATAAAGAAAAAAAGAAATGACCCTGGAACCCCCAAGGAAACACGAACTCCTTCCTAGAGTTGCTATAGAAATTAAATTTGAAGTACATGTATATGAAAGTCCACGCAAACCACCCCTTTATTTTTTTTTAAAAAAATATCAATTAGCCCCCCCCCCCCCCCCAAAAAAAAAAAGATAGGAGTCGGATTTAATTCTCTCCGCCCTTCTCCCCCTCCCAAATAAAGTAAAAAAAGGTTCATTTTGTAATATTGCTGCAAATGATAAAACGGTTTTAAAGATCAGAATTATTATAAGTCAAAAATATTGTTAATTTCATAAATGCATTTTAGAACAAACTGAATATGACAAAGATTTTTCGTAGATTACTCACACATCTAATCTTTGACATTTAACTCAGTCCACTTTCGCACTGACCAAGGATACGAAGTAAGTTGCATGAAGGGGAAATCGATCTCCGTATGACATTAATTTAAAAAACTGAAATTAGGTAGAGTTAAACATAGCAAATTCAAAGAACACAATCCTAAATTCTAACCATAAAGTTGATAACACGTATGAGTAAATGACATTGATATCGTGAGAGAGGAAAGAGATGTCAACGATGATAGAAATTGCTACCTTATGCGAAAATGTCCTTTCTAAACAGCAAACTAAACATTAACCTTCAATTACATATGTCAAACAGGACCGAAAATTAAAAGGATATATATGTAGGATAGATTGATAATTAATAATTTGTTATTTATAAACCCTCACTATACCATACTATACCATACTATACATAGGCCTAATATTTAATTTGAGATTTCGGATCGGGATCGAAATTCTTAAAATACAGTTGTAACTTCCTGTAACAAAAATGCCGATAGAAAATTTAGAAGAAGAAGGTTTAGAGAAAAACCCAAATTTTGAGCATGCCCAGTGGAAATTCCTTTTGGAAACAGACAAATACAAAAATGATGTGGAAATCAAGAAGAAACTTTTGGCTGCAGTGGAAGAGAACAGTAAGTTTCCGGGAAAACGAACCATTCACTTCGTTCAAAACTCATGTGTCATTGTTGTACTTCTGACCGTTTCTTCTGTCCAGGTTTTAAGATAAATATATATATCTATATGAGTTTGATCTAATTTTGTGCATTTGTACAATATTTTGCGTAAGAAATCTATGCCTTAAGCCTTTTCAGTCTTCTGAAAAACTCCAGTTTGTAGATCTACCAACTGATAATTAATCTTGTGTAATGGTTTGGGCCGTGGATATCGGCCTGGAAAGCTCAGTCGGTAGAGCACCAGACTAGAGATGCAGGGGGTCCCGAGTTTGATTCCTGGTCCAGCCATACATTTTCTTCTTTCGGGTTTTGGATTGGGTTTGACACTGCCGACTCACTTTACGGACTTGGAAATAAACAATCATAATTACAATCGCCCAGAAAATCACAAATCCTGCGTATTTCAGTATTAAATTTTATAGCAAAAATGTATACTGTATAGGGGGTTAATTTCACAGGTTGTAATTTTCACAGTCTTCTCTCCTCTGAAACGATCGTGGTTTGTTGAATTCGCGGAATTTGTATATAATAAAAGTTACCTCCCTTGTCTATATCCGTTTAATCTATAGCATAGCTAGAGCGGCATAAATCAGCGTTATGTATTCATTTCAGGAACAACAGGGTAGGTTTATATAAAATAGTTAGATTTAATAATTTCTTGACGATTAATTAAAACAAGTGCAGTTATTAAAAGTCCTTGCTTATAAACGTCGAATTACTTTTCAGTATGCTTTTACGATGAGTGCATGTACACCCGAAGATCTTCTTTCCAAAGGGATAATACATCGTGGCGAAAAACCACTGGAATGTGTTAATGTATGCATCGACAAAATAATATCCTTCTACATCTTCAGCAAGTTCGATAGTTATTTGAATGATTTTTTAAAACCAAAACTATTACGCATAACAATGCAGGTAACAAATACACGGGGTAACATTAGTTACGCATGGGTAATCAAAACCCATTACCCACGTGTTTGGATTGACGAAACATGTAGCGTTGGCTATTAAAACAGCTTTTTAACAAATGCATGTTATTATCTGCTGATTTGAATTAAAGTAAAGCATGATAATTAAAATAATTGAATGACAAGTACTACTCGTAATTACTGAAATGACCATGTACTGCACGTAAAAATACCTATGGTACACAGTCTACTCCCAAATTTCCAAATAAAACATGGAGATTATTGAAAACTTATTCACTGTTTCTTGAATTCACGGATTTATTAACACCATGAATATAGCAAATATTAACACAGCAAGTTATTTTCCCCCTATACAGTATCAACCTAAGAAACATAATCTGAAATATTTCATTCGATTGATAAAGTATTAACACAGAAAATTGATAATATAGAGCAGTATTAAATTAAAATTTATCTTTTAAATATTGTGAACAAATTATGCCTAAAAAAGGTTCAGTCCAAAAACTATTTCTACATACGTAGCTATTTATACCTATGCCAGGTAGCTATTTTTACCTGTTTCTTGCTTTATTCGCATTTTGTGGCCAAACCTGGGAATGTGGCAATATGGTGAGTAATAAAATTTCCTGATACATTACAATGATTATGAAGATGAAAAAATTTCGGCCAAAAAATTATTCTTGCTTATCAATTATGCATCAATAACAACACCGAGTTCCATTTTATAGAAGCCAAGGATCAAAGCTAAGTGTTAAGAAGCCTAAAAAGTCTTACAAATCTGTACATGTATTATTTTTACTACTTATGTTCATGCATTCTTAGATAAAAGGATTCAGGAAGATTCTTTATGCATTTCGTCTCCATTCTCTAGTCTCGTAAAGTTTACAGTCTTTAAGAATCTTCTCAAGAACAGCAAAGACATGATTAGTCTAATTGATATGGAAGTATCTTCAGGTAGTGTAGATTCAAGTTTGTTCAAAACATGATTCCCAGGGGTAGAGTGGGGCCACAATGGGGGATCAAAGTTTTACAAAGGAATATATAGGAAAAATAATTAAAAATCTTCTTTTCAAGGACAGCAAAGCAATGATTAGTCATATTAATTCAGAAGCATCCTCAGATAGTGTAGATTCAAGTTTGTTCAAATTATCCCCCCCCCCCCCACTTTCTATTTAAACTTTTCAATACTGAACTGATTTCTACTCTTTCCAAGCCAAAGTGCTAAGGTGAGTGATGTGGCCCTTGTTAAAACTTTTCCTCTTGTTTAAAACTTACCAAGTCATTTTTTTTTCAATTTAAAGAAAAGAAATATAAATAGTGAAATGAAGTTACCTGTACAGTATGTAATATGTAAAAAAAAAATTCAGCTGACGGAGAAAGAATCTGAGATTTGTTTAAGGCATAGAGAAACAAATCTTTATAAAAAATTAATGAGATATAAATGTTACACATTTTCATTGACAGACATGGCTCCATTTTACGAGCAGTTGTGTAAAGATTTGAAATGGAAATGTGACGAGACTCTTATGAAGAAAATGAAGGCAGCAAATGAAGCAGAACTCAAGAAAATAGAGGCCTCTATAGAGGACGCCGAGAAAAATCTGGGAGAAACTGAAGTCCGAGAATTCATGCTGAAGAAAGCAGAATATTTATGTAAAATTGGAGACAAGGTAAATATCAGTATAGTGCAGGAATTTTTTTTAAAATAATAAATGTTTTCATATTAAAGGTGTGCATATAATATTTAAGTACAGTGAACCCTTTCTATCTCGAACTCAATGGGATGGAGAAAAAACTGAAAATACTGAAAGAAAAAGGGCTTGGGACTTTCAAACTACTTCTACATCCATGGTATTCGAGATATCTCTGTGTACGAGTTATCAAAGTTCAACTGTATACATATTAACATCAATTCTCTGTAAGGACCAAAATTTTACTGTAGGGCTATGGCACACACCATGAGCGATTTTCATGAAACTTTTTCAGGTGGTTAATGCCCATACATTATGACATAATCAACATTCAAAATTAAGGTTACTACCTTGGTTGCCATGGTAACGGGCTAATATAGATTTTTGCCCCATTTACTCTCAATTCAAGCATAAAAATGCTATGTACTTGATTTCATGTGGTTTAATCATCTTAATTATTTTGAGATAATTCATACATTATATGAATAGAACAAATGAAGCACTATAAAACACAATAAAAAAAAATTCTACAAGTCACAGCAAATTCTTCAATTGATGGCTCAAAGATGACCAAATTCTTACATTTTGAAAATGGTCGTTTTTACCCTATATTTCAAGAAGTCTTTCAAGAAATGCAGGCAATTCAAGAAAAACTCACCTGAAATTTTAGAAACACCATAATAATATTAGTTAACTTTTATGAAAAGTAGAATGGGGATTTTTTTTCATTTTTGGTATTTTTAACTTCGAAAATTGGCATTTTGCCAAATAATATTTTTTTCAAAATGTTACTAGACACTGGTTGTTTTATAAAATTTCTTTTCCAAACACTTTTCTCACGAATAGATCAGACAAACGGAATGATAAGTAAATATTATTAAAGGTAATAAATAAGATAAAACAAAATTGTTAAATGAATTATTATTGTTTCTCTATGATCCTTTACAAAGGGCAGGTAACTCAAAATCTAAAGAAAATTAGCTATTCAACTTTTCACTGGAACTTATTTCAGTAAACAACATTTTCAAATACTAGATAAAAAAGGATAAAGATAATGGATAAAAACTCTAATGATACTTTTCAACCAAAAAAATAAATAAATAAATATATAATAAATTATTACTTTTTCATGCATAGGTAGGTATTAATTTAGCAGGTTTGAAATTTGATAAGCTAATGTTAATTTCCTCCATTTTAATTTTGCTTGTTCCCAGATGCAAATCTTTAGATAACAATTTTATTTGGATAAAGAAATTTAGAATTATTTAGACTGACCATAAATTAACACCCCATTAAAAATAAAACCATTAATGTATATTCTTACAATCAGAAAACATACACATATTCATGTGTATATGTATAATTTTATCGTTACTTTTAAAAAGTTTTTTTTTCAAATTATTGATCAAGCAAGAATCTACATCTTAACATTAGGCCAAATAAAAAAATATGTGTGGCTCCGGTTACCCGACCTTCCCTATTTTATAACCCCCGACCCTAATCTTTTTTTGGCAATTTTCATATTTTTTCCGGAATTTTCCCCGATTTCCATCAATGACTCCAGTTTAAGTTTTAGTTTCAGCAATGACGGCCTCCTTGCAAAACATAGTTTAATAGTATTAAATCCAAAGCAAACTAGCATGTAGGTGTCCCCTACCAATATTGACTAGTATATTATCACACCACATCTAAATGCCATTTGCAAAGCAGTGATAGGTATTATTTCTAAAGAAAAAATTAAGAAAATCATTTTGCTAAAACAAAAAAAAAAAAAACCAAAAAAAAAAAAAAAAAAAATTACCTACCTACCTACCTACCTACCTACCCTAATTTTTTTGGAAGTGTAACCGGAACCACACATATTTTTTTGTTTGGCCTTATCCAAAATGTGTATTTAGAGATAAACAAAATGTAGAAAATAACTGCTATATAACAATTTTGTAGACAATAGAAACAGCTAGGCTTGATGTTTTCATGATTTCTCTTTACATCAGAGGTTGGCCATTATGTGGTGTTGTGTCTGTCCAGTCAAGAAGAATTTTAAATGGGTTTGAAAAGTGAAACTTGAAATAATCATCTTCATCTTTTCCCCTGGAATAAAAAAAACATACATGTACTTTAATTAAAAATCAATTGTTTAATATCTACTACATTTTCATGTGATAACAAATACAAGTATATAAGCATATCTATTTTTATTAAAATGTATATAATACTAAGCTAGTAGTTAGTATTTACACCTCCAAATAAATTGCCTCAGAATTCCTGCATGTGTACTTTAAAAAGCAGGCTTCCTATCACAGGTGCTTGGGGACGGATATGTGATAACAAATACAAGTATATAAGCATATCTATTTTTATTAAAATGTATATAATACTAAGCTAGTAGTTAGTATTTTCACCTCCAAATAAATTGCCTCAGAATTCCTGCATGTGTACTTTAAAAAGCAGGCTTCCTATCACAGGTGCTTGGGGACGGGACCCCCCCCCCCCCCCCCCCCCTCGTGTTCCATACCCCAAGGGTTCTCCCCGACTTTTTTTTATATAAAATATTTTTCTTTGACACATACACAAAGTTTTTTTTTTTTAATTGACTTTAGCCATAAACAAACATACATACACATACACAAACACAAACACACCACGGCTGGAAAGCTTACATACAGATTTTTAGGAATAAACATGAAATAAAAAAATATGAATACACAAGATATACTAAAATAATAATGTAGATGACATAAATTTATCTATATGTTTATGTTTTCAAATATCTGGTTCCAGTTAATCCATCTTCTTTTATAGTTTATACACATGAAGTTCATTGTTCTATTTATTTTTATAAAAATTCATACTCTTGAATACTAAAAGAGACCTTTTAGTATCAGAAAGTATGAATTTTTATAAAAGGTTAGTTTTAAATTATATTTTGGATTTTTCAATTGTAATACTTTGTAAATGTGTCATAGAAATATATTTTATTTAAAAAAGTCGGGGAGAACCCTTGGGGTACAGAACGCGGGGGAGGGGGTCCCATCCTCAAGCACCTGTTCTTCATATTTTATCGCCTTGAACGCAGACAACAATTTGCTAATTAATGAATACCATAAATTAACCAATAATAAATACAATACATGGCGCAGACGTATGTAGCGCTAATTCGTGATTACGCCAACCACTCCATACCCAATGATTGCGCTAAATTTTGAATACGCCAATTTATGTACACATACAGTATTTTCAGTGTAGCCAATTGCAAGGTAAAAGTAACTGAAACAATTTACCATCACCTACTCCAAAAGCTGTTCCCATGCTCTAACAGAATCTTCTCCAAAAGAATATTGTTCAGTTAAGATACTGTCCGATGTTCAGTTCTCACAGTCAATTGCAAGGTTTCTTTCTCCATTAGTTAATTTTGTAACTGCCTCTTGCTTCTGGTATTTAGCCTTTGTGTTGAAATAAAGATGATAAAAACACAAGAAAAAAGGTTCTCTTTATGTACCGGTATCTTTTCATCTTCTTTTTGGGAGTTGATTTTATCAACTCCTCATAGTCAGCGCGCCAGAGGCGCATCAATACATACAATTGACAAACAGCTACCAAGGGGGTGTCCTCGATTAAATGCAGGATGTTGTGAAAATGGGAGAAAGGTTGAAATTACAGTTTTAACCTACAAATTGAGCAGGGTGTAAAGATTTAAAAATGCAATGTATAATCTCAGTAAACGGCAGGCCTAAATATTTATGTAAGAAAATAGATTTACAGATATTGCGAATAAGAAAATAGTACATATATTCTAATTTTAAGATAGGAAACTCGCTCCTAAAATAGCTTAGATACGTCATCAGTTTGTAGGAAAAGGCTGGAGGTATCCTCGTGATTATAACGATGCATAAACACCATGCTTCGACAATATGAGCCCCATAATAACGGGATTAATAATCAGACATATACGTTTAAATGCATGTCAGTATATACAGATCGAGAACACAAAATCAGATTGATACAGACAACTGATGTAAACTCTATAATGTTTGTGTACATATGCGAGCAAGACTGCATGATTATCAGGGATGGGCACGATTACTGAAAAATGTAATCGATTAATAATCGATTACTTAGAGGAATTTTGTGTAATCGATTATTAATCGATTACACTCATTTTTGTCCTGTAATCGATTGTAATCGATTACTTTGGAAGATGTAATCGATTAATAATCGATTACTTCCAAGTTTTTATCTCTTCAAATATCAAAGCAATATTTAAATGGTAAATGTTGATGTTATCCACTGAAGTTTGAATGTGTTCCTGCAGTTTCAGTGCAGATTCTTTTAAGGTTTTATTCTGGCCAACATTCTCACTAAATGCCCAAATGAGGGATTCTCTACTTATAGTGGAGACATGATTCCTACAATAAAATATGCCAAGGAATTAATTATTCCTTTCAACTTCAGATCTGAACCTCCATATTTATTGACTTGTTGAAAAAATTATTTAATATTTTATTGTGAATTACTACATTAGAAGTATTTGGGCTGCCCGTATGTTGACAGTACACATTAAACATTCCTGTACGTGTCTTTTTTCAAAAAATAAGTAAATTAGAATGAGCTCTTAGTAATAAACATGTAAATTAAATGTGTCCTTAAGTAATTTAACTAATACATGTAGCACAATTTCATTCTGCATTGAAATAAGTGTTTTGAGAGCTATTAATTGTTTTAATAATACTGTTTGTCTTCAACGGAATGAAAGTTAAACACTAGGTAGTTCACAGTTTACACCTCATTATCTGCAATCAGGGATATGTCTTAGTCAATTAATTAGCCAATTAAGATAAGCCAACACAGTGACACTTACTCCCTCTCTTACAGACACTTATAACCTAGCTCTCGCTGATATAAAAGCAACCTTACAATTTTGAATGAAAACATGAGAGTGATTTTGCAATAAATTTTAAAGTTACTGAAACACAAGCTTGAAGTTGTTTAAACATTTTCAGATATGAATAAGTATTTCCATCTTCTTTTTTTTCGAGTACAATGTAGTTTATTTACCAAATTATTTATATTTTATACAGCACTTAAATCTGTTTTTGTTATTTATAATTTTCTATTACAAGACAAAGTTTTTCAACATCTGAAATATGAAAAAGGACATGCAGCAAGAGGACAGTGGGTCAAATGTAAAATGCACATGAAAAATCTGTATATTTTATTAATAAATGGTTGAAATACACTTCTGAATTATTTAATACTAGACCAGTAGGTCTATAATGCAAATTTTATTGAGAACATTATTAAACTTATGATAAAAAAAGTTAGGAAATCCAAACATTACACAAGGTGGTTTATATTTGATATTTATGTGTGACTGACTGGAAATAATTCTTCAAAATAACATCCATTTATGTATAAAATAATCGAAAGTAATCGAAAAAGTAATTATAATTACATTGAAAATTTTAGCTGTAATCGATTAAATTACGATTACAAGTAATCGAAAATCTCTTCGATTACAGATTACTGTCGATTACTTGAAAAACAGTAATCATTACAATCGATTACGATTACTCGATTACGATTACCCCATCCCTGATGATTATCACAGCGGACATTATGTGCCTCCAGTATCTCTAACATGTGTAAAGTTCTAAAGCCGCAGATAAGATCTCCAAACTGCAGCAGACGTGACCTACTTGACAAAATTAATTTAACAGCCTTTTACTTTTGTGCCTGGAATGATAATTATTGATAATATACACAGGATTATTTTTTTATTTTTGCAGGAATATTAAATCTGTGCATGTTATTGTCTCAACAATTAGTTCACTGTTGATAGAACGGAATTTTTTCGGAGTGGATCCAGAATTTTGCTAATTTGGGGCACACTGAGTATTTTTGGAGTGGAGTTGGGGTGTTGAAAAAGCCCATTTCCTTCTAAAACAAAACCGTGTGATTCGTATACATTTGCGAACAAAGACAAAATATGTTGCTTTGTAGTTTAATATACCTGTAATGAAATATTTCATCTCGCTGCAATCTTAGTTAGATTCCAGCGAAAAGTAAAAAAAAAAAATGATACATTTAAAAATGAATTATGCCACACAATAAGGTTTAATTTATAAACAAACGAAATTTGTTTATATGTAAATACACTGTTATGTTATATAGTGTATCTAAATACAAATACCTAAGTGTATCATTTCTCATGCTCTTATCTATTGCTCGAAGTATATTAACTTTATCAAAAAAAATTAATTAATTGATTTAAAAAAAGGCAGAAAAAATTCATAGTTATAATAAATTTAGACATTAAAACCACTGTTCACTTTTTTGATCATTCAATTACCCTATTTTAATTATTGTATGCATTTGAAATTTGGGTTTATCTTAATCCATTTACTAAAAAAAAGTAGCATCCCTGGCGGTACAATAAACAGGATGTTATCCAAATCATTCTGTGATAAACTGAAATTTTGCAAATTAATACTTGGTGTACATAAATATGCAACTAGTTTTGCTGTACTATCTGAATTTGGTAAATTTCCCCTACACGCTATTGGTATAGAATTGAAAATCTGGTAAGTCTTTTCCCCCCTTACAAGAGTGAAGATGTATATTGTGAATCAAAGTCACTATGAAAAAGGTGAAGATAACAGACAGTGATTGATCTAAAAAAATCTATAAAACAATACAAATCTGGAAAGAGGGCATACATTTGAGAAGAATCTCTGTTTCTGGTATAGTCATGTTGCTCCATTAATTTTCTCATCACCAATATAGATAGTATATTTGTCGTAATTTAACTTTGGTCAGAGCACCGTACATCACATGGTTAAATGTTGTACACCTTATTCATGAATTAATGACAATGTGACCGTTGTCAATGAATATTCATAATTTTTGTGATATTTTTCAGAAAAGAAATATCAATCTTTTTATGATGAAACATAAGTAATTATCTCATCGTATAACAATAATGAAGTTCAATATTTTCTCAGGTAAAAAAAAAATAACAAAAAACCTGCATTTTCGCCACTGGGAGTGTTGTTCATTTTTTCTGAATTCTGTCTGAAACGGGATTTTCAGTTAAAAAAAAACAACATCTGATTACATGTGTCTTAGAAACTGAAATTGCAAGTTTGACAACTTCACGCAAGATGAGGATGAAATCGGAAAACAACAAATATTTATAAATTTGCTTGATAAAGACCTTGTAAGCTCTTTCATCACATTTTTTTCTACATGAATATCATTGTAATTTTGTAAACGAAAGATTGCATTCCGATACAGGACACAATAAATGATAGAATCAAGTGAGGAAGGAATCATTCCGAATTGATATTTTTTAATCTATGCTTTTTTTTTTCTTTTATAATGCATTGAACAAAAATCTGCCATATTGAAAACAATATGGCGCCTATGCAAATTCGCAAAATGTACACCATTTCTCTATATGTAAATTCAAACGTACACTTAAAAATCATTTATTCAAAGATTATATATATATATAGGAGCGGAATCAACAACTTGAATCACATTCTGACGAAAAAAAGTCGCTCTGGCACTTTTAAAGAAATTTGTAGTAAGGAAAATACCTTAAATTACTGAAAATTTTTGAGCAATGAAGAAGTCTTAAACGTTTTTGCATATCATTCAAAAGTTATGGTCAAATCAAAACAAGCCTTACTTATTTGACTCCATAGATTCGTGATATTTTTTTTAGTCTTTTGATACTCGCATACTAAATTAAGAAGCAATAATGTTGCACATTATTTGAAAAGTTGTACACAGGGTTAAAAACATAAAATTTTATTTGAAATCGTCCTTAAAATCAACTCCCATCAGTACCTTCAGTACTTTGATTTTTCAAAGCACCTGTGCATCTAAAATATGTTTAAAATATTTTTTTTTCAAATTAAAGAAATTCATTCTTATTGTCAATCATGAATACATACATTTACATGGGTATATTATATTCATATCTTATTAGTGTGTATTTATAGCTGCAGTTAAATTATTCTCTATTGAGAAGCTGATGGCTCTTTTAATACTCCCCCTCAGAGGGAGTATTAAAACGAGCCGTCAACTTCTCAATAGAGAATACAGTTAAATATGTTTTGTTCTTTTACAGTGAATCTGAATTATATGACTTCTTTTTAGGCTAAAAAAATTTTTATGTGTTTCCGTTAAGTCGACCATCTCTAATTTTTACCCACCACCTACCGGTACTACTTTTTTGGCCAAATCAGATTTTAAACTGTACCACTGTACCCCCCCCTCCCCTTTTGTGTCCAAAATATACATCAGATTTAATAAATCAATTTTTTGGTGTGGCCTTGAGCCCCTACCCCAACACCAAACTGGTCCCTCTCCCTTTCCAAGATTCATGGATCCGCCACTGTGTACAACGTTACCAAAAATATATGTTTTTTTTTTTAATATTAAATTGCCTTGTGTATATTTTTCATTACATACAAACTTACATCTTCTGTAACATTCTCCTCCTTTTGATAAACTTTGTAGTTATGATTTGCCAAAGTAAGTTGCTTTCTGAAGCAAGCAAAAATTCCTATAATTAATGCAAATATATTACTAAGATGTATATCTGGAATGTCCTGCTAACATGGTGATCTTTAAATATAGACCAATTTTAAGTCTATTATACAAAAAAAATTATTTAATTTAAAAATTATGTCAATTTAATTGAAAAAGCTTCTTACATGTAGTTTTCATACAAAATGAATATTTGAAAAAATTCAAATTTATACCTGTACCTAGGGTTGTTCTAACCATTCCCACTGACTGCCGTATCTTCTGCTTGTTGTATTCCTCCAATTGCATCTTGCATTTTTCTCATGGGTTTTAGAGAGAACATGGAATCCCACATGATGGGAATGCAAGTCAGACTTCATAAAATTTGTTTCAATATTTCGCAAAGTGAATTTGACTTTAAAAATCTATTATTAATAAAGATCTGTACATCATTATCAAGTTGAATGCTGAGAAAGCAGTGTCTCCTTCTTTTGATGACTTACTTTGTCATTCACACCTGAATTCCATTTTAAAAAGTTGAAAAACACATCATTTTTCTGTAATTGTTTCATGTTTATTTTTCTGGCGTCTGTTTTTGCCACATGTTGTTATAAACTTCTTTAGACTTCAATACAGGAGAGTCAACAAAGGGAAATAACACCAGTTTAATTTTTTTGTCTTCAGTGCAAAAGAGTCAGCAAAGGGAAATAACTCTCTAGTAGGTTAATTTTTAGGAAAAGTTATAATTTGAGGGGATTGGAATATGACTTTTAACTGATTTCCCCACTTCAAATCTTTTTGCATCTTTTAGATCTAAGCTCAATCTTACTAAAAATATCTTTTTTCTAAGTTTCAATTGCCTGCAAAAATTAATATGCATATCAAGAAATAGGCGCCTTCGTATTCATTTTTATGACAAATTCATGTAAATTGATCTGTATCATATTAAAAACCTTGGGTTAAATTGAATAAAATTTAGATGTACAGAAACTTTAATTACTTAGCTATAAAATGAAACCCATGTTACGTTGATAACTTTCCTACATTAAGGAAGCACGGAATTATTTTACATGGTGATGACAATCAGGTCAGTTTTGCCATAACAAAATATTTCAAAGTCGTTGCTATGGAAACCAAGGAGGTACTGTCCAAAATTTACCCACCAATAGTCTTTATATAGGGCACTCTCTAATATTATAGTGATAAAATTCCATGATAGTGCGTGGCCAAGCATTTTTGGTCCTTACAGAGAATTGATGTTAAATTTTAATATAAGAGTTAAAATGATATATCACAATATTTTTCCTACAAATTTGACAAATTGTAAATATAACTTACAAGTTTATATTTGATTTGGTAGGAAGCCTCATTAACACAGTTTCGGAAGACCCAGGAAAAGACAGTTACCCTTGGATACCGACTTGACCTAGTGTTTCACCTCATCAGAATGGGCCTCTTTTATATGGACCATGACCTCATAACAAGGAACCTCGAAAAAGCTCAGAGGTACTGTTAGGAAAATGTCTCAAAACTCTGTTTTTACATGTTGTCTTAATATGAATGAAATGAAAAACCTTGCAGTATTTGAAAACATTCTTTTCTAAACTTTTTCTCAATGCATTTTTTAATGCATAATTGTATGAATTTATATTCCCATGACTTTTCAGCCTGATTGATGAAGGTGGTGACTGGGACCGCAGGAACCGCCTCAAAGTCTACCGCGGAATCTACTGTATGTCAATCCGTGATTTCAAGCAGGCGGCGACCCTGTTTCTGGACACTGTGGCGACCTTCACCTCCTATGAACTGATGGATTACCAGTCATTTGTCACGTACACAGTATTGTGCAGTATGATAGCACTTGAGAGGCCAGATCTAAGGGAAAAGGTCTGATTTTGATTTATATTTAGAAAAGATGTAAAATGTTGTCTTTGATGTTTTGTATTTATTGACACTTGTGTATAGTGTATTGCCACACCACCAATAGAAACATTCTGGAAAATTTTCTTTGGAAAAAGTATTGGTCTTATAAGTCTTATGCACCCTGAACATTGAAAAAAAAGTTCTTTAAAAAGTTACTCTATCCACTTTTAATTTTATGGCTTTGTTGTACATGTACTTCAAGAACCACAAAAAAAAAATAAAGTGAACATGTCAATGCAAAAGATTGTTACAGAATGTTATATACATAATGATATTATTTAATAAGAAGTCATTTGACACTATATTGTGAAATGTTGTTAACCTACATTTTAGAAATTAAATACATGTACGTAAATAAATAATAGTTTTTCAATACTTGCTACTTTTGTAATATTTTGACAGGTTGTGAAGGGGTCTGAAATTCTGGAAGTCCTACACAGTCTACCAAAGATCCGATCTTTCCTGTTCTCTCTCTACGACTGCCATTACTCGGACTTCTTCAGATATTTAGGTATGTGTTGGATAAATATCAGGCTTCTATAGATATATAGGTACATGTATGTGTTGGATAAATATCAGGCTTCTTCAAATATCTAAGTATGTTTTGGATGAATATCAGGCTTCTTCAGATATCTATGTATGTGTTGGATAAACATCAGGCTTCTTCAAATATCTAAGTATGTGTTGGATGAATATCGGGCTTCTTCAGATATCTACATACAGCTAAACTTTGAAATCTCGAACACGGATATCTCAAACACCCCGGTTATGTCGAAGGAAGGCCACAGTCCCAACAAAATTTGTTCTATAAATGATTAAAATAAACCCCTCTATGTCGAACACGTTAATTCGAATACCCTGGTTATCTCGAAGTAAAATTGTGTACCCATTCATTAAAGTCACATGCGTTATCTCGAAGTCAGGATAATTTTCCGCTCTGATGATCAAGTCCGTTAGGTAAACTGGATGCTCTGTTGATAATATCCACCTGTCTGTCACACATGGGTTACCTGTTACTGTGATCAACAGATAAAAGCACGCTAATTATGCGAGGTGTATGTATGGCTTACCTTGATTTTAATTATGCAAGCCAAAGGTTGTGTGTATTAGTTTAATGCATACGCATGGATGACACTTTAAAAAGGCTGGGGTACGTTTATCTTGATAATCGCTTTTTAATTAATGCTATGCGACTGTAATATACGCACTTGCATAGTTCATGCATATGAAAGTGAAAACTATAAACATCAAATTGAAACAAAATTATGTAATTTAATGCAATTAGAATTTATTTTTCCTATATGAGCATGCAGAATTTACAATCGTCAGTACACACCATCATGTGAGCATGTGTTGCAGTGAAAACTTGTGCTATAGTGCCTAGTGATTTAGTGTTGTTTTGTAGTTAGATTGATTGATTGATTGTATGTTGTTTTACGTCCCATTCAAGAATTTTTCACTCATATAGAGACGTCACCATATATCGGTGAAGGGCTTCAAATTTTGACCTTTACTCGGCACTCAGGGCCATTGAGCAGTGAGGGATCTTTATCGTGCCAATGCCTGCCATGACATGGGGCCTCGGTTTTTAAGGTCTCATCTGAAGGACCCGCAACTTTCACTTCAAAGTGCCGAGCGCATGGCGAAGGAACAGTGGCTACCCATTTTTTATCGATTTAGGTCAGTCGCGGCCGAGATTCGAACTCACGACCTCCCGATCACGAAGCGAGCGCTCTACCGACTGAGCTACCGTGAATGATATTTTTGTAGTTACGGTAGACAAAAGTGCTTGTTTCTTTTGCATTTGATTTTATTATGGTAAAATAATTTTGTTTTGACTGATTATACATGTATGAACATGTTTTCCAATTAAAAAAAATATATATTTCATTTTCGTTATTCTGACAGCAACCGGTTTCAAATTTACAATGCATAGACAATATCCGGTTATGCATACATTGGAAACGATGCTAACGTTTGGCTTGCCGGGTTGTTAGAAGGATTATACTTCTGTGCATATTATACAAAGTTTTTATTTTGTGAATTATAAAGATGATGTAAAAATGTATATGTACATTAAAGAAATTGTATACAGAATCTCAAACAAGAAGGAATTTGACAAGTTTTTATTAATAAGTGCAAGTCCACTGCACTAAGTTTATATGAAGTTCATTTGAATTATAACCCTCGATACGTCAAACCCCCGGATATCTCGAGGTTCATCAAAGGGCCCGTCAACTTCGAGATAACGAAGTTTAACTGTATGTGTTGGATAAACATCAGGCTTCTTCAAATATCAAGGTATGTGTCGGATAAATATCAGGTTTCTTCAGATATCTAGGTATGTGTTGGATAAATATCAGGCTTCTTCTAATATCTAACTATGTGTTGGATAAAAATCAGGCTTCTTCAGATATCTAAGTATGTGCTTGATAAATATCAGCCTTCTTCACATCTCTAGGTATGTGTTGGATAAATATCAGGCTTCTTTATATCTCTAGGTATGTGTTGGATAAATATCAGGTTTCTTCAGATATCTAAGTATGTGCTTGATAAATATCAGACTTCAGAATCTATAGATATATAGGTATGTGTTGGATAAATATCAGGTTTCTTCAGATATCTAAGTATGTGCTTGATAAATATCAGGCTTCTATAGATATATAGGTATGTGTTGGATAAATATCAGGCTTCGTCAGATATCTAGGTATGTGTTGGATAAATACATGTGCCACACTGAATTGTTGTAGCCTTTAATCATGTTAATAAATATGTAGTGATGTGGTACATGTATACCAAAGCTAACAATAAGTAGCCAAAACTGCTTTATAGACAATGGGGAGATAGCTCAGCTATCCATCCAAAATTTTCAGATGCAATGTTCTTCATGAGCTATCCATTCAAATATGCATGCTTCAATCTGTGAACTTGTACATTTTCTGGATATCTTGAGTATCTTGAGGCCATCATTAAAAATATCTTTGTTTCCCCTAACCCGACCCTCAAATCTCAAGTTGGGTAGGTAGGTAGGTAGGTAGGTAGGTAGGTAGGTAAATATTTTTTTTTCAGACAGCAGCTTTGAAAATACCTTCTAAAATTTAATGGAATAATACCTTTATAAATAAGAACAGTACAAAAGAAAGCGATTTGTAAACAGAATATCACACAAATGCCGTTGGAAAGCTAAGTTTAAGGTGAATTAAATTCACAGGTATTTTTCAATTGAACTTGTAAAATATCTCAAGCCATTGTAAATATATGTAAAGGAGAAAGGCCGAAAACTGTCCATTCTGTGAGAGAAAGAACTAATCGAGGCCTTAAGCCTTAGATTAGTTCTTTCTCTCACAGAATGGACAGTTTTCGGCCTTTCTCCTACTTAAAACATGATTTACTTCGTTCTGAAAATTAGTTAAAAAAATGTACAAAATGACAGGTATCACACATACAATGACAAGTTCATTGTTTACGGAATGGACAGTCACAGGTAAGCTAGGGATGCAGAGCAATTTGTTGAATAGCCATTGTGTTTCCAGATGCAAATAATAAAAGGTCTTTGTCTTAAGAATGGACAGTTACAGGTGGATTTTGTGAGATATTAGTATTTATACAAGTATGCGATGCTTCAAAATCAGTTTACAGTTTGCGTTGTAAAGGCATACATGTTTTCCTGTGATGGAGAGAGTATTAGTGATATTTGGATCTGGAAACAGAAAAGTAAGAGCAAAAGAAATATTAGCCAAATTTTGACCCAAAAATGAACTTCGACGACAGATACAGATGATCAAATTAAAATCAAACCTGGGAATGTTTTCTTTGAATTCTATTTTTGAGGATATATTAACTGCAGCAATGTAATGGTGAGATGCAAATTGTGTTCTGAGTTTTGGATTAGCCATGAGCCAATCTTCGACCCGAAATGTTTTTCCAAATCAAATCTGGAAATGTTTCATTTTTATTTATTTTCTACCAAAATATTAACTGCAGCAGTGTAGTGTTCATGGTGCAAACTGTTTTCTGGGTGGAGAATTTAATAGACATACTTCTATCTGAAAATGAATTGTCCTCGAGGGAATGATTTTTCCGAAATTTACTGTGGAATCATCATTGTTCGTGGGGGACCAATGTTCGTGGATTTCGTGGGTCATCCTTAGCCACGAATTTACATCCCCGCGAACGTTTATTTTGTAAACACATTGATTCATTGAATTTCTCTTATAAACGAGTAACCCACGAAATTACGTCCCCACGAACAAGTAAAATTTGGCTTGCCCACGAACATTGACCCCCACGAATTAAAATGATTCCACAGTAAATCAAATGTGAAATTGTGTCATTCTAGTTTTGTGAAAAATTACGTTTTGGGTATTGAAATAATGTGCATCATTCATGAATTTAAAAGAGTAAAATCAAGTGGATGCTGTGCAGACATTGTGTTCTGGAGTAACTTTGATCTTCGCGTTCTTTTTGTTATTTACTATGGAGTGTAATTGTGTTCAAAAATCCCGACTTGTAAGTTTGTAAATCCAAACTTGTAATCCTATCAGTTTCATAGTCTACATAAATTATGTAAGTAGGTAATTCCGACATCTTAGCATGTAGTTCCGAACATACAACTGTGTTGACTTTGAGTTTATACAATGAATGTGTGTATTTTTATACCCCCTGCAAACGAAGTTTAGGGGGGGGGGTATATTGGAATCAGCATGTCCGTCTGTCTGTCCATCCATCCGTCCATCTGTCTGTAGATGAGATTTTGTCCGGATCATTACTTGGAAACTGTTGCAAGGATTTGTCTGAAAATTTGTACACTTATTATTCACCATATGAAGGTGTGCACCTGGTATTTTCATTATGATTGGATAATTTTTTTTTGTCCCTTGGGAGTAATGAGTGGACATGCATCCAGTTAAAGATTAATTATTGAGTTCAGTGTGGGAAGCTGTTAGGGCATCACTGATCAAGCAGGTCTTATCTATATCTCCGGGGAATTGGGCAGAAATAAATAAAGATCTCTGTTGTTTAAGTCTCTTAATTGTAATTTATGTCTGTCAAAATACATAGTTACTGGAACCAGCCTTTTATTTTTAAAATGAGTCTGGTATAAGGGTATTAAAATCAATTTGATTTTGTATAATTAATTATGATATTTTTTTTCAACAATCAATTTGCAGAGTGTCATGTCTCACAAAGATGGCAGATAGTTGCAAACTATTTTTTCAATGTAATAAAAAACACTGTAATTATTAGTATTGATGTTTTATTAGGCTGCACCTTAGTTTCATTCATGAAATAAAGTGCCCCACCACAGCATGATACGCCCATCAAATATTGTTAAATTATCATAAACAGTTTAGATTCAATTGTTCGAATGACATCTTAGCGAGACAAGGCAGTCCGCAATTTGTTGTAAAGATATAAAAATTAAAATAAAAAATGTACAATAAATAATTAGTTTAAATTATATTATACAATATCATATAAGTTTTAATTATTATATACAATATCAAGTTA